CACTTCTGCTTGAATCCTAACGGTGGGAGTTCCTGTTTTTTGTAGAATCCAGATGAAAGGTGGGCAGGACACTAACCAGGGGTCATCCGGAGAATCCAAGAATGGCTGGTATGTTAAGGCCTAAATCCTGGAGTTGAGGCAAAAAATGCCCTTGCTCTGGTCCGAAGTCCGCTCTGGGGCAGAGTGGAGAGGCCCAGCTGAGTCACCGAGCCATCCTGCCTCCACAGTTCTTTGCTGCTGGGATTTGAGAGGAAGTCAGATCTCAATGGCTGCAGGGGTTTGGATGTAAAAGGAGGATGCAATGAGGAGTCCCCAGTTGCCCCCATAACCACAACTGCTTAGCTCTGCAACGTTCCTTCTTTTATCTGTTGGATAAAAAGGTTTCTCTCATCTTCTGGAGTCCGCCCATTTTGAGCCCGGACAATACACGTGGGCCGATGGAGGTTGAGCATGTATATCAAATGCTGCTTCTCATTCTTGAGCTCCTCAATTTGGGCCTTCAGTTCAGCATTTACACTCTCCAGTTTCTCCGACTCCTGAGGGACAAGCAACAGAGTTATTAGGAATTGAGCCAAGGTACAGCAAGGATGGGGTGGCCAGGGAGTGGCCCCTGGGTGATAGGGTAGCATCTGGGACATGTGGGGTCTCATCTAGTTGGAAATGGCCTGCAGAGGCAACGCCATGGGCTCCCTGCTACAGTGCCCCACGAAGCCGGAGCAGCAGCCTTAGGTTTGGGAGAATCCAGACTCTGGAGAAGCCTTAGCACTTAGAGGCTTCTTTAGCGATGCCCTTGAGTTTCCACTCAAGGTTGAGGCAGGCTGTGACTCTAATAGTAATGAGGCTGCAGTGGAATCAGTGGTTCAGAGGTCTCCTCTGATGAGTCCAATAGCCCATGTGCAGGTCTTCTGGACCTACAACGGCTTTGGGGGCTGGAGCGAAATCTGGGCTCATGGTGCTTAGTCTTCTGAGTCACTCATTTCACTGAGAAGCTCATCTCCCCAGAAAGAATGTACATGGCAACACACAAATTGTCTTAATTTCACTGACTCCCTAAAGCAATCAACAGAACCCTTGGGGACCTGTGGAATCTGGGTGATGACTCTGCCCTGGCCTGTCCATACTTGGGGGAAAAAGACATAAATACTGGAAAGACTACAGCATGAGCTGCCCAGCCTGCCACAGATGCCGTTCCCTGTAGGAAGGGGAGCTGGCTGGATGCAGCCAGAAGCTAAAAGCCTATTGGGTGAGCCAAGGAGAAGGGCTGCAGAGTTAAGAATGACCCAGGAACACCAGGAAAGTTTAATCACTGCTTGTGGATTAAGGAAATAACTTGTTTTGAAGAGATTAATTAAAGGCGTTTCATAGTGAGCCAAATGAGAGCTGGCAGCTCCCTTTTCTCAGGAGAATGGGCGAGTGAAGCCTCTTTGGGCTGACATATCCTGCAGCCTGGAAACTGCTGGACATGTAGGGACTGGCCGCGGCTGCTGTGGTTTTTAATTCACACACCTGCTTTCATACATTCAGAGTCCCATTCATTGTGCTAACAGCTTTGCTAACTCCTCATTCAGCCACTGGCATTTCTGCTCCCAGCTACAACACCCTTCTTGGGTAAACACTTCTGGGTAGGAGGCTTCTTAACTCCCCTTCAGATCCTGACATGAGGTCAGTGGGGGACAGGCATGAGCAGGAGGTCAGGGCAAGGCAAGAAGACACTCACTTTCTGCAGACACTCTGTCTTCTCCTTCTTCTTGTTTCGGCACTTGGCGGCTGCAATCTTATTTCTTTCCCGTCGCCTCTTTTTCCTTTCATCTTCTTCAGGGGCTACCTGTAAAATCCAAGAGGCACCTGCTTAATGGGAGGCAAGAAATGAGACCCATCTCAAATACACTGCCTTTTATTGCCAGCAAAAACTGGCAACCCAGGGCAGCCATAATGGCAAGCCCCAGACTTACACAAAACCCCGCCACACACATACATTATTCACCCTTAAGAATGAATAATGAAAATCAGAGAGCTGTTAGTTAAAATTATATTGTCAATATTGGTAAATCAAAATGTAGCTTATTTTAAAAATGTATTTGGATTTTGAAATAGGAGTTTGATATTCAAATGGATAGCTGTTGGTAATAACAATAATCCTTTAGAACAGGAAACAGATTCTGTTTGGTAACTATGTCCTTTCCCCTAGAACCAGGAATGACTTCAGTAACCTGGCCACCTTGTCCTCTCCTCTCTACTCCCCCCCACACCCCGCCCCGTTACTTTGATTCAAGACCCAAGGGCAGCCCATTCATCTCTATCTTCACCTGGAGCATCAAAGCACCTCCTTCCTGAATTCAGGAGATGCCCATGGGGCTCCTAGAGAAGAGAACCCCAAGCACAGTCCCAACCAAAGTGGCATTATCAGCCCATGGCTTGGTGTCACCAATGGGTGGCAAACTAGAACCATCCATTGATTTAACCTTCCCCTGTGCTTCCCCCTGAGCCAGCCCTGGGGCTCCTCAGAGAAAAAAACCCTATCCTGTTTTAGGATCTGGTGCTCTGGAAGTTCACTATGATCCTGACTTTGTCTGAGGACTGATGAGGAATCAGTAAAGTCTGGCTGCTGGACCTGGCTTCAAGACCAGAGTCCTGCTGGGGGAAGCATCATGGTGGGCTGAGTGGGTAATGGTTTTTTAAGGTGCTAATGGCAGACCTTGTCTTGTCACTTGTCACTGCTCTGGACAGTGGGAAAGGGTGTGGGAGCCACACCTCAAACCAAAGAAATCCTGGCAGCCATACTTGCCTCACATCTGACTTATTACTAGTCATTCGGATTAGAGGAAACTTGACTTTGTTTGTACTGAGATGGAAGGCCTTGCAATTTAGAGAAACAATGCCCAAGGGGGAAATATGGTGAGAGAAATTCTACCTTTCATATCCTGGATCCCAGAACCACACAGGCAGACATTTAGGTTTAGACTAAATTGCCTTGAATCCCAGCTTGACTACCTATTATCTGTGAGACCTCGGGTAAGTTATCATGTTCTTCTGAGCCTCAGTTTCCTCATTTGTAAAACAGGATCAATAATCTTATGATGAGGGTCAAATTAGTAAACGTAAATGCTTTGCATAGTGTTTAGCTTATGATCAGTGCCATGTAAGCTTTAGTTATTATTAACCTCACCATCTACGTCTTCATCAACAACTCAGCAATTCTAGTATTGCCTTTGACATTTTTTCCTTGACATTTCCTACAGACATTTTTGGGTAGGTGGGGGAGGACTCAGGGTTTTCTCATGTGAGGAAGTACTTGAAAGGAGAGCACATCTCAGAGTCACACTGTCAGAGATGAAAAAGCCTTTCCAGAGGCCATTTAGCTCAGTCCTATCAGTTTAACATGGAAACGAGTTCAACCAACAAATAAATACTGATCTATTCATGTAGTTACATGCCCAGGGAGACCTGGGAATCACCAGCTCATGGTCAACAGATCAGTAGGCTACGAAACCCTGATGTCCTCCAGGCCTTTGGTTCCTTGTCCTGTGTCATCTCCAGGTCACAACTGCCTCATTGCACCATGTGGCCTCCCCAGAAGTGGCTGGGACTGGGGGACAGGCTCGTGCCACCCAAATGCACGGGATGCCTATGGGTTTCAGAGGCTCAGTGTCTTATTTTACGTTGAGGATTACAGCAGCCAAGGGGACCAGAATATTCAATAGGTCAGTTGGTGCATTTTCTTCCCAGTAGGAAAATCTACTTGTTATACTAGCCTAAGGTCAGAAGATCACTTGAGGAACACAGAATCACAGATGGGTGGGGTGGCTCTAAGGAGTTTTTCCACAAACCAGGCTGCCTACCTCTTCCTTTGGAGACCCTCAAAATATCCTTCAGAATGCTCTCCTTTCTATGGTGGTCCTACTACTTCCATTGCACTGTTATCTCAAGATATTTAATTATAAAGTTAAATATTCCTTTGTGTGTCCAACCGGTACTGTCCACTATTGGGCTGGGTACCAATGACAGCCCCTCAGGTTAATGAGGGCCCAGCCAGTGCCCCTAAACACAGCATCATACAGTAGTCCTCTCTACCAGTCACTGAACTATCAGCCAGGTCTTTTGTTAGACCCTTAAAAACTGTCATTTCTTTCACCCTTATATAGATTCATAAAGCCCTTATTTATAGAATCACCGCCCCTTTTATAGAATCATAAAGATTCTTAACCAACTTCCTTTAAAACTCAGTTCCTTTTTGGCCAGTTCCACGACTCCAGGTCCAAAGGCAGTGTTCATGCCAGTTAAGCCCCAAACACTCCCATCTTGTGCCAATGAAGAAGGCCAACAAAACATCCAAGACCTCAGCTCTGAGTTCTTGAGCCACCACAGCATCGCCAGCAATCACCCCTCATACTTCTCACCATGTCTGTTACTCCAGGTGTCTTGTAAGAGGTCGCTGAGTGGCGAGCAGTGCAAGTGTGAGGGACAGAAGTGAACTTGGAGCAAAATCTGGTACCAATGCTGTGAGCATTACACACAGTTGTGAGCATGGCTGGGGGTCCTTGCTCCATAGTCTGGCCACCTGGGTCCTTGTATGATGGAATTAAATACACTTGGTGCTTTTTTAGAACGATTGGACACAGAAGGTGAGCTCACACAGGACCATGGCTTTAAATAACATCCATATGCTGGTGGCTTCCAACTCCGCACCTCTAGCCCGGATTCTCCTCTGAACTCCTATCCCACGTATCAAACTGCCTCCTCCCCAGGGCGTCCTATAGGATGGACTCCTGTTCTTGCCCAATGTCCCAATTTCAGCAGCACATAGACGTGCCATCCTTACAGTTAGGCCAGAAGTTTTGGAGCCACCCTGGAGCCCTCCACTTGGAGCCATACTCCATGTCCAAGCTGCCAGCCAATCAGCTTTACCTTCCAGACAGACCCAGACGCGACCACTTCTCCACACCTCCTGCTTCCATACTGATGCAGACCTGCCTTTGTTTGCCCGGATTACTGCAACAGTCTCATTTCTGTATTCTGCTTCTACCCTTGTCCCTACTGCCCATTCTCAACATGACAGCCAGGGGGACCACTCTCAGTCCCCCTTTGCTGCTTTATTTTTCTCCTTTGCTCAGTCTCACATATTATGTATTTACTTCTTTTGTGTATTACCTGTCTCCTCCCAGCAGAAAGTAAGCTCCCTGAGGGCAGTAGTTTGTGTTTTTCACGCTGCAGCCCCCTGCATGTGGTAGGTGTGCAGGTGTAGGAAAAACACATGCTGAAAGAACAGACACCTACCTGGGCTTTCGTGACTGCCATCTCAAAGGGTCTGCTGCTGACAGTGACCGACTCCAGTGCAGAGGACATCCGGTGGCAGAGGTGCTTGTTCTGGATGGCAAACCTCAGCTCTTCCTTGACAAAGGGTGTCAGGTTAGCAAAATCCTCAAACACCAGTGACCCAGGAGGGGACAGGCAGGGGACGATGGCAGAGGCACTGACTTCCGAGGCAGAGACCTGGCCTGGGTGTTGAAGCATCATTTTGCTGAAAGACACATCGAAACCCAAACTACTTCAGGGATTGGGGGCATGGGGCCAACTCGCACCACACCTGCGACCTCCAACCCAAGTCCCACCCCCAGGGAAAGTCCCACCCTCAGGCTTGTTTTGTTTTCATTTCATGCCATCCTCAGCTTGAGTAAAACAGGTTCTTAAAATACACAGCTCAGTGATGTGGATAAAATGCCTCACTGAAGTTGATCAGGGTTGGCGTTTCGAATTCTCAAAAGCATTAGTGTTGGCTGGTGTGCATACATGCAAATGTAGCCTCAAACAATACTGAAAGAGGAAGAGCATTAAAAAAAGTGAAACTATTATGTAACCTCATTTCCAGTCTCTTTTTGAAAAAAGAAACTTGGCATCTGAAATCAAGTTGAAGTTGTCAATAAGTGGAAGTAAAGCAAGACGTGGGGGACCCCTGAATGTAGCAAATCTCTCTCTGACAATTCTCCCTCAGGAAGTTGGATCCAAATAAATGAGCATGAGGATGGTAACCGTGGCAGGCGAGTTTCTTTGTGCCAGTCCTTGGCAGGAGCTGGGGGCTAGGGTTTCAGATCACAAGGGACCAGTAGTAGCCCCTTTGTAAAGTTAAGCTTAATGAAGCAAAGACCTCAGAATAAAGTGAGGAGCTAAGAATTTGGACCTCGTCTGGAGGTCTTGGTCAGCCCTGTGGTGTCTGTGCAGAGCCTTGTTCTGGGGGCCAAAGGGGACCCGGGGCACTGTCTCTGGTGCTAAGGGGCAGTGTGACCTGAGCTCTCTGAGCCTCAGTCTTCAGCACATTACTGAGAGTTCCTACAGCATGGGCACTGAGTCTCTGCTGTCACTCTATCCCAGAGCCTGGCACAGTGCCTGGCCCTGGCTGCTCCCAATGCCTGCTGACCACTGTAGACTGCCTGACTAAATACATGAAATCAGGAAGGGGTGGTCAAAGCAAATGGCTTCTGAGGTCCTGTCTACCTCTATCATTCTACAGCCCAAGGAATCCAAAGAGACAATCCTATATACTAGTAATAAAAGCCTAATATGCCAAGTGTCCAACTGTTTGTTCGACCAGTTGCTATGATGCGCACTGACCACCAGGGGGCAGATGCTCTGACCGGTAGGTTAGCTTGCTGCTGGGGTCCAGCCTATTGGGACTGGGTGAGATGGGCCGGACACACCCTGGAACTCTCCTGCAGTCCCTCCCTGGCTCTGATCATGCACTGGTGGGGGCCCTCGGCCTGGCCTGTACCCTCTCACAATCCAGACCCCTCAGGGGATGTCAGAGAGCTGGTTTCAGCCCGATCCCCACAGGCCAGGCCGAGGGACCCCATGTACCGGGCCTGTAATAGGAAAATAAAAGGTAGAAACAGTAACAGTTCCATGGTCCCCATAAATTTCTTCCCGCCATATACTTCCTCCGTCACTGGCTGTTCCTGTTCCCCCTTGTCTAGGCAGTCAGTTGTCCAGGGGCGATGAGGGTGGGGATTATCTAGTTAGGGGCTCCCTGGAGAGTTCTTCTCAATCTGTGGATCTGTGGTCCTTAAGACAAATCCAACCAGACAGGAAGCCCATCAACAAATTGCTAACATTTAATGAGTGCCTCCTTCACACCAGAAACCTAATGTGATTTATCTCATTTAATCCTCATGAGAACCTAGTTGAGTTAGGTCCTAGCACCATTTTATAGATGGAGTAACTGAGATTTATACAAGCTAAATCATTTGCCTAAAGTCAGTGTGAGGCAGCATCAGGATTTGGAATTTGGTTTGGTTCCAAAACTCATGTCCTTAATATATAGAATATAGAATATCATTCCACATTGCAAAAACAAAAAACCAGAGCAAATTTTTCATGGGGGTGGGAGTAGGCATAGGGGTGGTGGGGGTCCTGGAACTAAATTGCTGGAGGAAAGAGCCACAGGGGAAACTTGAACCCTAGGTAATGAATTCGCTGATCTTTCTATGTCAGGGTGCACACTCAGGCTGCTGCCCCCATTTTGGCATATATATAAGCGGGCCTTTTATCTACAAAATTCCTAGACTGGGGTCATAAGATCAAGATTTAAGGCTCACTTACTCATATGTCATCCTAACTCCCAGTGCCCTTCCTTCACCCATATAAAAGAAAGCTAATAACAGTCGTCCTATTTTCTCATCGAATTGTACAAGGAGTTGAGGAAATAATAATACACGAATTTGCCTTGGGAACATAATACAACTAGGGGGTATGCTTTTACTGGGCCTCCCAGGGATCTCTCAGGCACAAGGCTGGCTCTCTGACAGACACTCTGTGAGATCCAGGTGGGAGGGTGGCTGGTCACTCTCTTTGATCTCAAACACTTCTGAATAGAGCACCCTGACCTCTAACTCCCCCTTACAATCTGAGATATACTGTTGGAGGCAAGAATTCCAGGCCAACAAATGTCACCGTTGACTATTCAAAGGAACCCAGGAAATGTATGCAACTCTTCTATAAAGCCCATGACATGAGTCAGAACTGAGGTTCTACCAGCTTAATCCTATAACTTTAGGATGCTGGGAGGGTACTTGTCTCTGGCAGGTAATAAACTCAGAGAAAACAGCCTTCTAAAGCCAGAGGCTTAAGATTCTCCCATGCATTCATGCTTTCCCTCCCCTTCTAACTTCATTAAAAATCCAGTAGTTCAGGGATGGAATTCAAAGCTACCACTGGGCTTGCCTTTGTTTGGAGGACTAGATGGCTCCCTTCTACATGGGTAGTCTGAATTCCACACAGTTGTGTGTAGTTCCATTTCCCCACCCAACTAAGTTTATTAATGAGCTTTCAAGGCTTGAGGTCTGCTGTTTGGGAATTTTTCCCCCCTCCTTCTTAGTGTAAAGTCAGCAGTCCTGATGAAAGAAAGTGAAGAATGTCAGTGGTATGGAATGTCTTTATGAAAAGCATTGGGTGGGCTTACTTGGGGACAGAAATGGGTTGTAAAAATGTTAAATGCTTTTCAGAATGTAAAGTAGTTCTATCTGTAGAGATTTGGGCTTTCTCTGAGCTCAGCTAAAGCTTAGGGTTTTTTTTTTTTTTTTTAGTCTTTTGAGATACTTTCTTTTTATTTCTTTACTCAGGAGAACTGAGTAAAGGTATGATTCAGCCCAGACTCAGGCTGTCCCCCTACAAGGAAAACGAAGTTAAAATCTTCAGACAACTTTTTCCCGTGAATGTTGAGACCTTTTAACATCCCCCTCATTGAAGAAAACAATATGTTTGGGGATTTTCTGAGTTGACTTTCTACATTGATCTTAAAATTGTCCACACTTGCTACAGAGCACTTGCATTTTGCTTCTGCTTCGTTATCTCTGATCAGAAATCACATCGTATCATTGGTGGTTTCATCATTTTCAAGAAAGTGAAACTTTACTCATGTATTTCTTTAACTGGAAATTCGGCTCCTAGATTTTATTTCCTAGTAGCTACAAACAACTGTGTTGAATTTTCACTTTTAATTTTCCACTACCCACTGTTCATAAAACATCTTAAAGTCAGAAGCCAACATTGGTCTTTTGCTAACTTCATATCTTGCTTGGTCTTTCTCCCAGCCCACTTGAAGGTTGGAGGTATACGGCTGGGCTTCAGGACCAGATGTTCCCAGTGACAAGCTGAGTACCCACCGAGAAGCCACTCATGCTTTCAGGGCCTCAGTCTCCTCATCTGTGAAATGAGACCCATACCACCTGCCCGAGTTCCCTCACAGGGCTGTCAGGAAGGTCAGATGAGATTCATGAAGGTGAGTTTACACACATCCTGAGTCCCCAGTACTACTATGATTCCACTTTCCCCATTTCGAGGGAACTCAATGCTGTTGTCAATACAGCTTATTTATCAGGAATTAACTGGAACCCTCAAGACATTCAGGTCAGTCACAGCTTCTTTTGCACTTTGATTGACCCCAGGCTCCCCACACACCAGGTCAATTCCACCCCTCTATTTGCTGGCACCAGCTTGTCTCCTCTGGTAGAAAATAACTAGTTCTCACTAATGAAACCATTTCTGGTTTCTGTGGTGTCCTGGCTATGTACTTCCTCCTTTCCAGGATGGGTGACACTTGGAGTCACTGACCCTGCTCCATGCCCAGCCATTTGAAAAAGGAAGAAATCCTGGACTCTATCTAATAAAACAGAACACCTAATATTAGAGTCATCTAGGTCACGTCTTTATTTGTAATTAAGTAAAATGAGGTCCAGGAAGGTAGTGACTTGCCCAAGACCAAAGCTGGCGAGTGGTCCAGCTCGGGCCAAGCTGCTGACCACCCACCCACTGCTAATTTTCTTCCATCACCAACAGAGATCCAACTAACAAAGCAACTGGCCAGGTAGATAAAGGGTCAAGTCAAGTAACCTGGCACCCACCAGAGGAGGCTTTGACAGGATTAGACCAGGAGGGAGTATAGAAGGAAGAGAACAGGGAGAGAGAAGGGGTTAGACCAGTGGTTCTCAACCTTCCTAATGCCTCGACTCTTTAATACAGTTCCTCATGTTGTGGTGACCCCCAACCATAAAATTATTTTCGTTGATACTTCATAACTGTAATTTTGCACTGTTATGAATTGTAATGTAAATATCTGATATGCAGGATGTATTTTCATTGTTACAAATTGAACATAATTAAAGCATAGTGATTAATCACAAAAACAATATGTAATTATATATGTGTTTTCCGATGGTCTTAGGCGACCTCTATGAAAGGGTCGTTTGACCCCCAAAGGGGTCGAAACCCACAGTTGAGAACCGCTGGGTTAGACAGAAGGATCCAAAGGCAAGGTAGCTGCCACAGGTGCTGAGTGCTGTGTCTTATCCACACGGTGGGCCTGGAGTGTTACCTGCCATGTTATCTCTGAAACCAGCTAGATGCTTACAACTGCAAAACCTATACTCACCCCAGTCTTGGTCTGGAATATCCTGAAAGCAAGAGCCTCTGTGTTGTAGCATTATTCTACAAGTGCTAAATGCAACACAAGGAGACAGTAATATCAATTCCCCCTTCATTTAAAGTTGAGAAAACAGAGGTAACTGTCAGCCACAATGAAATAGGTGCATTGGGAGAAAACGTGGCAGGCAGCACTTCAGGCTCACAGTGTGGGCAAGAAATACACCTGTGGCCACAATTGGAGCCTTTGGATCCTTCCTGTCTTAACCGCCCCCCCCCCTCTCCCTGGCTCTTGGCTCTCCCCCCATCCCCATCCCCACCCACCCCCTATGCTTTAGCAACTCCTTTATTTGTAAGGAAGCATATGTGATCTAGGTAATGAAATTACAGAAAAGAAAGCGGTTAGGAAGTAAGCAGATGAGATGGAAATGGGGTATGGAGGAGCAGAGAAGGAGAACCAATCCAAATGGAAAGAAAGCTGGAAAAGGAAGAGATGTCCAATAGAGAAGTCTCCATTCCCCCTTTGCCTCAGAGGCTGGTCAGTGACATTAGATAAGAGACTCCCTCATTCAAGTCATACAAGACCCCCTACTACCTCCCCCCTTTTTGAAATTACACCACTCTAGAATCTGAAAATCTTCTGGCCAGTAAGGACCTTAACGGTTATCTGGTCCAAACACCGTCTTGCGCTGGCAAACAGGCAGAGGGGGCCAGCACTGCGTAAGTGCCCACATCTCCCAGCAGAGGATACTGAGACCTCAGGGTCCTGGCCACTAGACCACAAAGCCATTCTCTCAATTATGAACATGTGGCTTCGCACCTTCGCTTTCCCTACGGCGGGTCTCCATGGAAGAAAAGCGGAGAAATCTGAGAACCCGCCACAGGAAGAACCAAAGCCCCAGGTATGAGAGAAAGGCGTGAGCGACTTGGGACAGGAAGTCTCAGGCCCAGGAGCCCGACCCGTCTGTGCCGGGAGCCCTCTCCGTCTTCTGCCGAAGGACAGGACCGGAGCGCCCGCCACCTCTAAACTTAATCCCAACTAACTTTCGCTCCGGCTGCCTGCGCTGTCCTGCTGCCCCGCGCTTCCGAGTGCGCAGGGCGACTCC